TTTTTTTTTTTTTTTTTTTCTTGGAAACAGACGTGTGCCATTTTGAGTTTTTTCCTTTGAAGCACGATAAATAACAGGGAGTTTGTAAAATTGCGCAGGAGCTTTTACAAGACTTATAATCGTGGACAGATAGCCTGGTTTTTTGCAGTGAAATAGTTAAGTTTGTAATTGTTGCGTCTGATGGCTCAAGACTGATGTTTCAGAGCACCATGTTGAAACAGTGGGGAATGCGTTTTTTCAGGATATAAAATTTATCTTTTTTTGTTGGTCCATGATAAGGGCGGTAATTGTGATTAAAGATGTGTTTATTGTCCAGAGTTTTGGTGTGTTACTGGTTTTATCGCTTCCGCATCATCTTGTACAGGACAAGTATGCCATGAATTTCATCTGCAGTCATTTATATTCGTGCCATACTTTATTTTCTACTTCTTTACCTGCATTCGTGGACTGAAGTTCGGAAGGATGCACTAGAATAGCCACATTTACCTTCCAAGTGGTGGACCAAATACTTCTAGAATTATTAAGAAAAGTTTCTGCTATTAACAATCTCCTGTAGAGCTAAAGTTGATTGCTTTAGGCAGTTAAACTATCAGCATGGCAGCAGCTACAGTCGCAACAGCAGCAACAGGTTTATCTCCATCTTATCCGATGGCGTCGCTTTACGTCGGCGATTTACATCCGGAAGTCACTGAAGCGATGCTCTTCGAAAAGTTCAGTACTGCGGGCCCTGTACTTTCAATCCGAGTTTGTCGTGATGCAATTACCAGACGTTCTCTGGGATATGCATACGTGAACTTTCAACAGCCTCCTGATGGTAAATGCTAAGAAAGATTTTAAGCAACTTGGATTTTGGTTAATTTAGTGGGGGATTAGAAATATCAGCCTGTTCGTGTTCGTTTCATTTCTTCGCATTAAGCGAGTCAGCTGATCGTTTTAAATTAGTTTCTTAGAAATATTTTTTTCGTCAGAAGAGCATTGGTATTCAATATACCTTATAGCAGTTTTCTTCTTTTATAAGCTGGTTTTGTTTTTTAAGAAGTTTATTTTATCTGACTCAGTTTCTGCTTGGAACAAATCTTGAGTAGATTTGTAGTGTTCTTTAGCCGAACGTGCTTTGGATACTATGAATTTTGATATGATGTATGGTAAACCCATTCGCATTATGTGGTCACAGCGCGATCCGTCCATGAGGCGTTCAGGAGCTGGGAATATATTTATTAAAAATCTGGATAAGAGTATCGACAATAAAGCGATATATGATACGTTCTCAATGTTTGGGAACATACTGAGTTGCAAAGTTTGTTTTTAAATGGTTTTGGCGTTTATTAGTAATGTTGAATCACCTCATTTAGTTTAAAGAAATAGAAAAAAATAGAATTAAATTAAACAGGTAGAAGTGCTTCTTCATGTGAATGGTGTTATTATGTAGGAGTTGACTCATTTTCTGATTTGTTTTCTAGGTAGCCACTGATGAAGACGGGAATAGTAAAGGGTATGGCTTTGTTCACTTTGAAACAGAAGAGTCCGCTCAAAAAGCAATCGAGAAAGTTAACGGGATGCTTTTGGAAAATAAGAAAGTGTAAGTAACTACTGTCTTGC